TGCAGCATGCAGCGTGTCAGTGGCAGGGAGCACAAGGGCAGGCGCTGACCTCCTACAAGAAGATGAAGTAATTTTATCAGAATACAGGAGTTTTTTCTTTTCGAAATCCGAATAGAAAGGGTACAGGGTTGTATTCGAATACAACGTGTACATTTTCTATTTGAGGAACTCTGCTGTTCGAGAAAAGTGGACCCGCACCGTTTCAATTTCAAAGAAGGACTGAGGCCTCCTCAGCCTCCTACGCGCAGCTCCCGGTCCTACGCGGTCCTGGACCATAACCCGTGCGGGCCCACGGGCAGCTACCGGTCCTGCAGTTTCAAATAAGATGCCACCACCCCTTAAACTGCCATGCCTTGTTTTTCCAGCCTTCCAACAACCGTATACGAACAACGACGAAAAATGTTCTCAGGGGCATAAACGCACCCCTGACGGGCTGCAAACTGTTCGGTCGATATCATCCTGAGGGTGATTGGCCTGAGTGCTGGTCATTGAGGTAGGATGGTAGTTGTAGGGGATAGCTAGGAGAATTGACTTGAGGATGGGTAGGGTGGCAGTTCCTCCTTCACACGCCAGTGTGCCCATGAGCTGGTTGAGTAGGAATAGTACCTGGGATTACCTTGGATGGTCCCCTGGGTAAGCTCACTGGTTTCGGCGTGGCTGGAATGTGAACAGATGGGAGCCTTGAAGTCTTGGATGGGGGGCCAGACTAGGGATAGGCATAATGAAATACCGTCACCATGATATCACAACCTCCCCTGGTAGTAGCCTTCAGTTCCAGCGTGGTCGAAATAGTACCAGGGGGTGGTCCCTAGGGAAAATTCCCAGTTCAGGCACTCCTATCAGTTCCAGCGTGGTCGGAATAGTACCAGGGGGTGGTCCCTAGGGAAAATAACCAGTTCTGGCACTCCTATCACAGTACCAGGGGGCGGCCCCTAGGGTAATTTGCCCTAGGGACCGCCCTCTGGTACTATTACGACCACGCTGGAACTGAAGGCTACTACCAGGGGAGGTTGTGATATCCTGGTGACGGGATTTCATTATGCCTATCCCTAGTCTGGCCCCCCATCCAAGACTTCAAGGCTCCCATCTGTTCACCGGGGCGGTCCCTAGGGAAGCTTACTGGTTCCCCAGTCCTATGACAGTGCCTGCTATAGGTGGGAATCTGGCCTCTACAACAAACCTGGGATTTAAAATAATAATAATAATAATAATAATAATAATAATAATAATAATAATAATAATAATAATAATAATATAAAATTAGCCGTTATTAAAAACAAATAAAAAAATTCACCGTCATATCTCTTCTCTCTTATCTTTTCTGCGTGTGGTGCATCGGGGGGCGCAGGGTATGGGCGCGGCGAAATGCAAACAGTCCTTTGCGTGGCGAAGGGCAAACAAAGCTTTTGCCTGCCGAAGTGCAAACAAAGCTTTTGCGTGGCTAAGTGCAAACACGCGTTGGGTGCCGTAGTGCACACACACACACACACACACACACACACACACACAGAGCACACATACACGCAGCACACACACATACACACACACAGACACACACAGACACACACACAGACACACACACAGACACACACAGAGCTGTGGTGTGCCTGGAGAGATGCGCGGAGAGATGGGAGAGTGCTGTTCAGACTCGGTGGAAAACCGAGTGAGTGGGTTCGCGCGCCATATGGGCTTGTGTTTTAACCGGCCTGGCGGAGTGCTCTCTCTCTCTCTCTCTCTCTTTCTCTCTCCAAGAGCGGTGTTTGTACCTGTACGTGGAGAGGGAGGATGAGCGAACGGTCTTTCGGGTCGTAAGAAGTTCTAGTACATGTGCTAGAACTTCTATCCCTTTTAGAGAGCGTCTAGCGGGGAGAGCTGCACTCGAAGAAGTACTGGAACTTGCAAGATTCAAGCGGATTCTAACCCCTTTGGACCATAAGCATGGCCAGATTCAAGCTAATTTAAACCCCTCTGGACCATAAGCATGGCCAGATTCAAGCTAATTTAAACCCCTTTGGACCATAAGCATGGCCAGATTCAAGCTATCCCCCCCTTTGGCCCATAAACGAAGTCGCGAGGACTTGCCTAACTGAGGTAAGTACATTTTATTACATTCTCCCAACTGCTCCCACTCATCCTCTTTCTCCTCCTCCCTCTCCCCTTCCTCCCTCTCCCCTCCTCCCTCTCCCGTTCCTCCTCCTGTGATCTTGATCTGCTCGCCCGCTATTCCCCCATTACTGCTCGTTTGTTGTCCTCTTCTCCCTCCCCCTCCCCTCCCCCTCTCTGCCGACGGTTTACCAGGCAGTTCTGTTTGACGATATATATATATATACATACATACATATTCATAAATATATGTATGTGTGTATTTATGTATATATATATGCTGGCCTTTTTATCGTTTCAGTGGCCTGAAATAGTAGACCAGAAGGAATTGAAGAAAACCAAAACGCAACTGTTCTACTTTCTCCCCTACACATTCTACACATGCTACTCCTCTTCCTCCTCATACCGTTGGCGATTGTACTCTCCCCCACCTTTAGATCACTCCCTCCCCCCCAAAAAAATTCCCTCTTAGCTTTCTTTGTGCTCTACCCTTTGCATCCGTTTCCCCTCTTCGCGCCGCTGCCCCTCTCTCTCGAATCGTTCATCATCTTTGCTGCCCTCCCTCCTCCCCCGCGCTCTCGCAGCCCTTGACATCCTCGACATCCTCTCCCTATATCCCTCTGGGGGAGGCTATTCTTCTGGATCTCACTCGGGACTATCGTTCGTTGAGCCAACAGGAGGAGCTGCTACTGCGAAGTTGTGTGTGTGTGTGTATGCGTGTGCGCGCGCGCGCAAGAGAGAGAGAGAGAGAGAGAGAGAGAGAGAGAGAGAGAGAGAGAGAGAGAGAGAGAGAGAGAGAGAGAGAGCAAAATGCCAGTTCATGGTAATTGATCGGAAAACGACGGCCGCAAACGGCCGGGGTTTCGCGGGGGGGGGTGGGGGAGAGAGAGAGAGAGAGAGATGTTTGTGCGTATATGGCACGCAAAGGCAAATGATAGAGTGTTTGAACGCACGATCTGAGAGAGGGAGGTCGACAAGTGTAAGGGGGAGGGGCTGCAACAGAAAAGGGGAGGGGGTCCGAGGGGGAGGAGGAGCTTCTGGAAGGGGGGTAGGAAAGAAACACACTCACGAGATGTGTGTCTGTAGGGGGGGTGGGGTTGGGGGGGGGTGTTGTATGTGTGTGTTTGATCGTAGTTTCGAATCGCAGATGCAGCACATAACATATGCCATTGGACTACTCCTTTGTACTGCAGAGCTCTGAGATGGTCTTCATTCTGAAAGTGCAGGCGTAGCCGCACTGGTCATACTTGTATATACTACTAGTATAATCTGTATAGCGTTCAGGCTCCTGATGAGTGTGTGAAACTCCGACGGGACAGTCGGTCGCAGCCCCCCGGGTAGTTATCGGTGACGCTATATATCTATGTCATACATATATCGGTCTATAGTGAATCTATAGTGAATCGATAGCGAATCTATAGTGAATCTATAGTGATATAGTGATAGATCGTAGATAACTGCCAGATATAGTCATAGATCTTAGAGAATCTACCGTTCCCCTGATACGAACTGTAGGCAGAAAGGGAGAAAAAGACAAGGAACGAGCGGATTGCGACCAAGTGTTTCGTCGGAGAATTCACTTATGCATCAACAGGCGCACCTGATGCCAGAAAGGGAAAAAAAGACAACGAATGCTCATGACTTGGTTGTGCCGGATGCCAGACGACGATTTCCTCTCTTTTCTTTTTTGTGTGTGTGATGTAGGTTGTGTTTTGTGTGTATTGCGTATGTTGTGTGCGCTGTTTGTGTTTGCGCGTCGTGTGTGTGGTGTGTTTGTGTATGTTTTGTTTGTTGTATGTGTGTGTGTGTGTGTGTGTGTGTGTGTGTGTGTGTGTGTGTGTGTGTGTGTGTGTGTGTGTGTGTGTGNNNGAGAGAGAGAAGGTGGGTGTTATGATCAGTAGAGCACTCTTTAGGTATTGTTAAGCATTACTGTGTGACACTTGTGTGCTTAGACGACCATGGTCTTCTGGCTTCCCTCCTCTTTCTCCTCTTTCTCCTCTTTCTCCTCTTTCTCAGCCTCTTTCTCCTCTTTCTCCTCCTCTTTCTCCTCTTTCTCCTCTTCTCCTCTTTCTCGTCTTTCCCGTCTTTCCCTCTTTCTCCGCCTGCTTCTCCTCTTTCTCTCTTTCTCCTCCTGTTTCTCCTCTTTCTCTTTCTCCTCCTCCTCCTTCTCCTCCTCCTCCTCTGGTTTCTTCTTTCAGGTACATCAAGAACAGTTTGGGATCGCCGACGACGGCCGAGTACATGCAGCTTAAAGCCGAGAAGGACAACATTTTGTCAAAGTTCAACGATCTACAGCGCGAGCACGCTGAAACTTTACGACAGGTTTGGAACTTTGGACTGTTTAAGAACCAATTTTTTTTCATCGGATGAAAAAGGGGCCCCTAGCTCTTGGCTGCTTAGGTGCAAATTCCTTGCATTTTTTATTTATTAAACATTTGATTAATCAATTTATTATTATAATATTAAATTGTTTTTGTGACTTGACTATGGACGCAAAGTTGCAAACACGTCCCTTGTGCATCATGTATGTAGGGTTTCGTGTTTTTTTTTTTTTTTTTTTTTTTTTTCGTTTTAAATTCTTTGTTGAACCTTGTGGTGGTCCCCACCACTGGGGAGAGAGATCCGGGTTGGTTGGTGTTCCCCCGTTACTTATACATAGCCTAGCGAGAGGATGAGATAGATGAGTACTAGCTAGAGGATGATACTACAAAGATAGCTTGAGAGAAGAATATAGCTAACCCTTTTTTTTTTAAAAAGAAAAAAAAACAAAAAAAACAAAAGGTCTTTGTGCCTACGAGTGCTTGAGAGAAGTATATAGCTAACCTTTTTTTTTTTTTTTTTTTTTTTAAAGAGAGGTCTTCTTTTTGCCTATGACTGGTGGTCTTGCTGTTTGTGTTGCTTTGCTCTTTCTTTTTTTTTTTGAGAAACTGCTTGCCATTTGTACTTGCGTTTGCATGAGAAAAACGAAAATGGAAATTAAAATTTAAAAGGCTTCAAGAAAGGAGGGAGGAGGAGGGGGGGAAGGAGAAGGGCGAGTACTTTCGCTTTATAAATTATAATTCTAATGAATTACGAATTGAACGGTCGTCAACTTGTCGTGGTTCTTTTTTTTTTTCCTTTTTTTTTGGCACGCACTGTTTGTTTGCATCTACATTCCAGTAGTTGCCCTTTTTTTTTTTTCCCTTCTTTTTTTTTTTTTCCGTTCTTCTGAAAGACGGGCCCCCTTCTAGTAGGGAAGGAGATACTCGCAGCCTACACTACCAGCCCCGGCCTACACTACTCGCTGCAATCTTTTGGTGGGGACCACGACTGCTGGAAATCAGGTCCAGCGTCCCAGTTTTACATAGTTAATCTGCGAATTTTCAGAGAGTTTGACAGGGAATTGACTTACTTTTTTCACTTGAACATTATAATTATATAATATATATTAAATTTGACAGGGAATTGAAGTACTCTTTTGACTTGAACATTATAAATTATATATTAAATTATTTTAATCATTTAATGTATATAATATATATTTTGTTGAGGTTCATATAACAAACGGCCATCCATCTTTTATAATGAACTTGTAAATGAGATGGTTTGCTTTTTAAAATTCGGTTATATCAACTTATGTGATTATATCTGATATTTTGTTTGATTGACTATATATCTGTTTGACTCTGTATACCGTATATATGGCCACATGTACGTTTTTTTTGGGGGGGGGCGAAATTGCAGCTCGAAGAACTGAAACGGTCGATGTCGATGAAGCATTTGCCGCCGACAACATGGTCGAACAAGGAGGCAGCTGACTGATGAGTTGCTCACGGACTTCGCCCAGAAGAGATGGAAATGGCGACAGGTACTTAGTACTAATTACTAATTACCAATTTGCCTGCCGCTGGGAGTCGGGAGTCGGTCGCGGTTAACCTTTCACACTTTTTTGTTTTGTGAAGTTTTTCAGCTTCAGCATGCAGCTCCGTAGGTAGCACATTTCTCACAACCATTTCTTTTCTGACAAAAGAATGAGAGTTATGAAGACCTCCTCGAGAGTGTGCTGATCTTGCAAATGTTCTCCCCATGCTTGCCTTTTTTTTTTTTTTTTTTTTTGGGGGGGGGAACTTCCAAACTGCCTCCTCATCCTATGGGGGACAGCCGCATGTACTATGCGATTTTCTTCTGTCAATATTTTTTTTCCATCTCACACTACCTACGTCGGGCTGTGTACACCAACTGGTCTACCCACCTTCCGGAGCTGCAAGGGGCACGGCAACCCCACCAGCAAGGACCCCCGCCAGCTCTGTGTTCGAAGGCCAACCACAGGGTTTAGGGTCGAAGTTTATGACTACGGTCTCCCCACCCGAATAGAACGCCCGGTCATTATAGCTGTATTTGGCACAACTTTCAGCCCAGATACGGCGATAATTACCGGGCGTTCTATTCGGGTGAAGACGGTAGGCC